GCTAGCTGTCTCAGGGTAAAAAGTCAGGGTCTCACTGGCTTGACAGCTCTGGGACTTCATTGCTTCCTTCTAGGTATCCCTAATATCTAACCTTATCAGTATTTACAAGTGGAGTTTCTTGTTTTACAAATGTTTTATGAATACAAGTATATGTTACTGATCTGCTAAGAACATTTCTGTTGAAAGTACAATATAAGAAATAAAGTGACATCATTTTCTCATCTATTTTGTTACAATACGCTGAACCTAATTCGTCAAGGTAGGTGAACATAAGCTGAACTTAAGTGGACAACCTAACAAAGGGACTATTGCCCCACCCAAAACTTAGTCAGTGCCCTACATGCCAGTGGTCACAAAAGCCTATTTGTCATTGGCTGTCCACAACAGCACATTCTGGAGTATACTACCAGTGCCTGTTTGCCTGCCTGTGCCCGTAAGGAGGAGGGCAGGGCAGTAGCTTTGGGGGGAAGACAAAAATAGAATGATGACTTGGTTGGGAGGTACACTAACTCCTGCAGCCAGGGAAAAGTCCCAACTCCCCTAGTCAGGCACAGCCTTTATGTCTAATACAACTCGGCTCCAACGGGGAGTCAAGAAGCCTCTGGCTAACTCTGCTTGGCACTGCCCCCTCTACTCTCCCCACCATTTCTGCTTCTTGATCAGAGTTGCTACTTCATATGTACCAGCACAATGTTATGGTTTCTCTGGCTAGATAGATCTAGGAGCTCAGACCACCAGAATCACTGCAAAAGTAGTGGCACTGTTCGATAGCTGGCCCCCAACTGCCTCCCTGCAGTACCTAGGCTGTTAGCATGCTCACCCTGACCGTGTGGGCATTCTGGGTTGCATGTCAGTGAGTTCAGTTATTTCTACTCATCTCTTCTGGGTAGATACAAACTTAAGGGCAGGCAGCCACAGAGTAGGCTGGATATCTGAGCTCTGGAGATTCAACTTTACAGCTTGTTGCATGCTGAGGGGAATATGCATATAAAATCTGAATCTGGAGCAGCATTACAGATCAGCAGCTTAGAGACCTTGTGACCCTGAGAATCACAACTCCTTTTCTCTCTTTTCCATCTAAAGATCTAATTACAGCAGCCTTTGAAGAGGTTGAGCCTAGGAACACAGGACTGAAAGGGACCACTGGCAGGGTGACCGAATTTGGTTTCACCTTGACTGCCCGCAACCAGGTGATAGATGACTTGCTCAGAAAGTTTCACAGAATGTGTATTCCATGTGACAGTATAAAGTTTTTCCTATAATCTGTAACAATCAAACTGTAGTAAAATGAAAAAAGCACGGCCAAAAAATTCACATGCAGACAAGGAAGAAAACCAACAGCTTAAGAAATATTTTAGGTTCCTTCAACAATGGGAAATTAGATAAATAAATGAAAGTTGCAAATGATCCCACACAGGAAGCCCATATCACACAGGAAAAGCAAAGCAGGATACAACATATCTTATCTGGGGATGCAATCTGATTTGCCTAATCTTTCTGATAGTTTAAGGCTAAGCAGGACCCACCCATTAAGCACTTCAAGACTTCCATTACAATAACATTGCTAATCACCTGAACAATTTGCCTGTGTGCAGCCACTTTTTTACTGGAAGATCAAAAATTATGTCAAAAAGCTAAATCACAACCCATAAAGAAAGATGGTTGTGACTTTAATGGAAACAAAAAAGGCCCTGAAGCATGATATTAAGGTTTCATTTCCCCGCTTCAGACACAATTTGTTCTGTTGTACAATCTTATCAATAAATACAGCAATTGACATCTAAAAATATCATAGTATAGTCCCCTTGTTCCCTCTTGTGTGCTTGCCTGGCTTTTCTAGAATTTCGCCCCTCACTGCTGCTTAAGAACCTTTTTATAGTGCCTCATCTAAATTTATCGATGATGAACATATATCTTCCTCACTTTATTCTCCTGAAGCATAACACATCATCTTTCTTGCCTTTGTAAATAACACACTTGTAATTGGTGGTCAATATCAAAATCTAGAAAACAGACGGCTCTCCTCCCCCTACTTGCTTGGCTGGAAGAATACACGATTGACTAAAAGAGGATATACTCCCTTTTGACTTATGTAATCGATAAAACATGACTTAGCTCAGCAAGGGTATGGTAGTATTTAATTGCCTTAAGACATATGCTCATCTTTCCTTTTGCAGCTATAAAAACATGAACTGAAACAATAAAATTCACCTGATTCATTATCTTAGGGTGAAAAGCTCTATTTTTGTGAAATCTAGCACTGATAGGGGCTCAATTTTATGAGAGCTTATAGGCTCAAATATAGCAACTGTTGTGAATCTCAGCTGATACCTGAATTAATTTACATTTAACTTTAAGACATTCCAAATAATTTGTTACTAATAGTGGGTTTAACAGCTGCTCATGTAAATCATTATGAAAGCTTTTAAATTACTGGATTTATTCAAGTCTTCAGATTCTTTTTTAATATTCAAACCAAAACGGATTACAATCTGTTTATCCTCTTTGCCAAGGTGCCTGCAGAACAAGAAAAATAGTCAGTCATTTCTGTGTGAAACACATAGGGCATGATGTTCCTATCAATGGCATAAAAAATAGGTAAGTGAATCCATGCTTCAAGCACAATATGAAATTGCAGGAAACTGTAATTATTGAGTCAACTGTATTACCTAAGAAAACACTTAAGCATATTCTGAAGCTTTTACTCTCTAGGAAAAGAACTTAATCATATAAATTTCACTGACGTGGAAAACTTTTTAGCTTCAAAGTAAAGAAAACCCAAACAAACATACAGAGGTTAAAAAAAGGTTAGGAGGACTCTGTGCCTAAAACATTGTGTTGCATAATGAATATGCACCTGAATATTTTCACTTTATCTCACATGCAAGAACAATAAAACCAAAGTGATTTTATCATATTAGATATATTTAGAGAAATTAGCCTTGTTTGGTGTATGAAGGGCTACTTATAGGCAGTTAACTTACAGTAAATTTAAAAACCTGGATATGCAGATGTATATTTACCACATATTACCATAAAATTTAAAACTCAGTAATGATTTATTCACCTGTTTTAGTGTATGCCCAGATAGCAACTTTAATTAATTTTAAAAATGCACATGAAATTAATTGTGTTCTTCAGACTTTGCAGGATTCGAATCTACTTGCACAATTACATCTCTGCTACCCATGTTCATCCTTCTCAATAAGCATACATCAGCTTTGTAGGCATGTAAATAATTATCAGTTTTCATGGTTACTGTACCTCCACTACAGTATGCTTCTCACAACTCAAAAGTTACTGAAGTCTTCATAATTCAAAACCATTTTAAAATAAGTAGTAAAAATAGTAGCAAACAAAAAATAAATTGCATAATTCTCAACCTCAAATTCTTTTCACTCTCTATTTAAAAAAAAAAAAAAAAACAACCAAGACTGAATACTACTGCTGAGTGACAAATATTTAAGACAGTTCAAATAAAACTTAGATCAACAGGATCTCTTACTTGTGCATCTAGAAAACTGTGCTCCACCATGAATTAAAAGTTGCTTGGACTTAATTTCATTCTGTTAGTACAAACACAGTCATGCTGAATAAACCTAAACAGTTGTCTATATTGGGAAGATATTCCTGTGTTTGAACACAGCTATGAAGAATTAAGTAAGCTAACATTACACTGATTATCACTGAAGAGACAGAGAAAAGTAAAGCAAATTGAGGTCATCAGTCTGTCAGGCAATGTGACAGTCTTGTGTACCATAAGATTTGTAACACGGACCACTTAACCCTAAAAATGTTTGCCTTGTGTATTACACTTTAATTTTTGGGCTTCTTTCATACAGATTCTCTTTATGACCTTTTTCCACTTAAATATGCAAAAGTTTTGCAAAAGCCTTATGTTTTCTCAGATGAACTGGTTAATTACACAACAAAAATACTATCTCCCCTATTGAGGAGGACATGGGAGATGGAATTGTGATCAAACAATTAACACTTTTCTCTAATTAGAACAATGAATCAAGATACCCAACTGTTGTAGCTTTTTCTTGTTGACAAGTGTAAGTTTTACGATGTCAGCAAATACAATTTAAGACCAGCTTTTTGGAATATTTGCTAATTAGAAAGTGGATGAATCCACCTCAGGTACAATTGTCATACAACCTTATTACTCATCCTCTTTAAATTTTGTCACAACAGCGTACACTCTTACTATAGAAACCCATTCTTTCTTAGGACAACACAACACTACCATTATAGGTATTGAAATTACTGTAATGATTTTTTTATGCCTCTTAACAGTTAACACATACCGTATTTTGGATTTTACCTTTCAATTGATTCTAGCTGTGCTCTCACCTAAGTGAACTACAAAGGAAACTAACACATTTGCTGTCTGAAACAAAGCTAGAATATTGACTTGTTGCACAGTGTTTATTGCAGTAACAAAACAGCTGTGGGCATTCTTAACACTTGTACTGTGAGGTTACAATAAAAAAAATTATCTGGAATCACGAGACTCATTTTCTTATATCTACACAAGAACTAATTTTTAAAAGACATTTAAGGTACTGTGCACAGACCTTTTCCTAGCCTACGTAGGCAGGTTATAGGCAGTATTGTCATTACAGAACGAGACAAGATGAAAAAAAGAGAAAACCAATCAAAAACTCAAAAAACTTTGTTTGAAAGTCAAGTTTTATTATTAAAAAGGTACAAGTAAAGGCCAAGGATATTTTATTTGTCTTCTTATTTCCAAGACAGGACAAGGTATGAGGAGGATTCTGTGTCTATATTTCACACAAATGTAGGGTGAGTATAGTTTGAGAGACAGGTTTTAGGGGTAGATAAGATGCTTAAAGGAGCTAAATTAAAATTCAAATATAGCAGTATGACACCTACAGTTAGAGATTTAAAAACCACCATTAAATTGCTAAAATGGTGATGCATTGCCAATTCAAATGAAGGCATTGTTAGAAAAAAAGAATTGCTGCAAGGCCTACCTACAAATGAGACAGGACTTCCCCTATGAGAAGCTTCAACTAACCACTGCCTTCACATGGAACAGCAAAGCTGTACAAATCTTCAAGCCAGTATGTCACCTTGGGAGCTTGATATAGCTCTTTTCATGTCTGCTTCTGCAACTGGTATTTCAGTGATCTTGATGCCTAATGGAGAGTTACCTGCATGAAAAGATAAAAAAGGGAAGACTGATGAATTAAGTCCCCTCCTTTCCTCACAACTGCCCAGTCAAAATCGGTTGGATGATGTGTCCATGCAGGGAGATTTTGCTTCCTATCAACCTTCAATTAACTATTCTTGCAGTCAACAAACCATAAGAGATGGGTTTACTCTAACCTCACAGTTTGTTTTTTTTTTCCCATTACTTTACTCTTCCCTCACAGCTTTACATAGATTTGTGCCTTTCTGTGTATGTCTCCAATTATGACCTGGTGGTAATATCATCCCTGCAAATCTCATTACAGACACGCAAAAGGTTTCCGAGGCAGCGCTGTCTGAAGCGTCAATTTGGGAGGAACTCCCCGGTCTCACCCGCCAGCAGCACCAGGGGGACTGAAGAATCACAGAATAGGTAAGGTTGGAAGGCACCACAGTGGGTCATCTGGTCCAAGCTCCCCACTCGAGCAGGGTCATCCCAGAGCACACGGCACAGGATTGCATTCAGACCGTTCTTGATTATCTCCAGTGAGGGAGACTCCACAAGCCCTATGGGCAAGAAGCTCTATCATCCAACAAAAGACGCCCCACGAA